CTTTCGACCACCTCGGCTCGCTCATTCCCCTCCCCCCCCCTCTTTTTTTTCACCTCCTGCTGCCGCGCGCTTTAAGATCTATCTGCGCGCGGCAAGACCCCCAGTTTTTTTGTTTTTTTTTTTTTACCGTGCGCCAAAGCGGGGTTCACGAACGCTGCGACTGTTGAGACATTGCAACTGATAAGCACACAGCGAGCGAAGGTCACGAAGCTACCGGCGCCAAGGGATGGTCGCTTCCTGCAATTACGAGTATCGCGGACAAATCGGGAGTTGGCAGGCAGGCACGCACTTCTGCACTTCGTTGTTCACATGCTCGAAAACTTACGTTTTCAGCAATAGCACGAAATCCAAAAGCGTTCTCCATGTAGCTTCCAGCGTACACTCCGTAGAATGCTTGATCAGGAACACTCAGCTTGCGGCGTGCACAAGCTTCAACGAAAGCCGTTGACAGAGGACAGACACTCCGCCGCACCGAAGTTGTTCTGTACTTACCGACGCACCACAGATTGCAGTGATACGTACTGTATCTACTGTAAGCACGAGTTAAACCGTGCAAGCCGTATACGCACACATCCTGGACAAAGCAAGTGAATAGTAAAGTAATCCAGCACCGTCAGCGTGTAGCAAACACGCACACATGTTACCACTGAATTCAAAGTCTGCCTGTTGACGATGGCGATGCGCAGTTGCCCCAAGACCTCCAAATCGAAACCGAAATTTGGAGCAACACCGTTTTAGGATATAATTTTCAAGCTATGTCAAGCTACCAATATCTAGTGTAATATTTTATGCTCGACAACATACTTATTTGCTAGCGGAGCTTCAAAGTCTTTTTTTGCCGCTGAAGTGTGCAAGCGGCAATATCGTAGCCTTGGTGATGTACATTTTTTTTCTTTTCCTGAGTGAGGCGTCATTGCGGCATTGTTACGACATTTTGGAGTTCAAATTTGTTACTTGTGCAACACAGATATAAATAAAAAATTAGGGAAGGGCGGCGGGGAGCTTTTTCTATATTTTACACGTCTTCACCCTTTTTTATGTTCGTTTGAGGAGATTTTTTGAATTCCAAATGGGGCAAATCTAGAACCGAAACAAGCTCAACTAACGCTGCCTTGGCACATACATGCTATCAACGTTCGTCTTGAACAATAATAATTATAAATATAGTTTTATTATTACTGTTTTATAGGAAAGATGAAAGTACGTATGAGCCAATAAAGTGTCATTTGAACTACTTTCGGGCCAGGATTTGGCTCATATCGAAAAAAAAAAAAGCTTCCGATTTGGATCCGCACGTATGCAACCACAGGCAAAAAATGTACATACATATGGATCAGGCCCCCTTCTTTCCTCTTTCTATCCCCCATCATACATGAATCCTAGCAACACCCTTGCTATGCTATCAGCTTCTTTTAAATAACACTCTGACATTCAGCAAGAACCTGGGGACTATGCTTTTTTACCGACAAAGTATGAATGACGCTTGATTTTATTTCATGTCTTAAATTTCGTGCAAGCATTCGAATTTGCCATTATTAGTCCATTGTAACGCCTTAGTAAGAACTGTTAATTACAATGCTGCAATTAGTAAACTATTCTCCCTTCTTGCGACACGAGTACAGTGCGCTAGTGTCGTCTGCGATCGTTCACGTGTACGTTATACTACGCGCAAGCGTTCATATCAAGAAAATAAAAAAGAGCAGTACGTGCCCACAGAGTGGTGCGTCCAATTGCACGAGTTCACTCGTGCTTAGTGGATGTGCGCCAAGCTTGTCCTGCGGCGGGGCATGCATGCACAGCAGCTGCATAAGAGTAAGCTCAGCCAGTCAATTGTAAACATGCCTAGTTCCATGCCAATTCAAACGCTGCAGACAGTCAATTTGAGCTGATCCATGTACATTGATCTAAATATAACTCACTGAATAAATCAGCGACTTGTAAGTTGATGCGAAATACTTCAGTCTGAGGAAATGTGTGGACCCCATTGTAAATAAAACAAGATATCTGGTATGAAAAACGGGGTGATTTCAAATGAAAAAGCAAGAACGATATCCTGTCGAAAACCGTGTGTAATCATTTCATGTTATATTTAAGCGGAACATAGTCTCTTTTGCCGATGTCTCTGTGGGAATTAGTGATGAATGAACATGAGTGGCAGCAAAATATTTTTTTAGTTAGAATCCCAAAAAGGCAACCCATGAATTGAGTCGTTGAACATGTGAGGGATCTTCTGAATAATGAAAATAGGGGTGGTATATTAAATATATTATATAGCACGATAATTGACGTTTAAATGTGGGGCGGATCTAGAGGGGATCAACTGATACCATAGTGCTTCATGAAGAAAGCTAAAGAATACCAATAAAGGAGGGTGTAAAACAGGTGAATACAATCTCCCCAATGCTATTTACTGCGTGCTTACAGGAGGTTTTCAGAGGCCTAGAATGGTAACAGTTAGGGATAAGTGTTAATGGAGAGAACCTTGGTAACCTGCGCTTCGCCGATGACATTCCATTGCTGAGTAACTCTGGGGACGAATTGCAACTCATGATTACGGAGTTAGACATGGAGAGCAGAAAGGTGGGTCTTAAAATTAATCTGCAGAAAACGAAAGTAATGTACAACAACCTCGGAAGAGCAGCACTTTGAGATAGGTAATAGTCCACTTAAAGTTGTAAAATACTATGTCTACTTAAGGCAGGTAATAACTGCGGAACTGAACCACGAGATTGAAGTAACTAGAAAAATAAGAATGGGGTGGAGCACATTTGGCAAGCCCTCTCAAATTATGACAGGTAGATTGCCACTATCCCTCAAGAGGAAGGTATATAACAGCTGTCTCTTGCTGGTACTTAGCTACGGAGCAGAAACCTGGAGACTTAAAAACAGGGTTCAACTTAAATTGAGGACGACGCGGTGAGCAATGGAAAAAAAAAGGTCAGTCTAACCTTAAGAGACAAGAAGAGAGCAGAGTGGTTTAGGGAACAAACGGGGGTTAAGGACATAATAGTTGAAATCAAGAAGACGAAATGGACATGGGCCAGGCATGTAGCGCGTATATAGGACAATCGCTGCTCATTAAGGGTAACTAACTGGATTCCCAGAGAAGGCAAGCGGGTTAGGGGGAGACAGAAGGTTAGGTGGGCAGATGAGATTAAGAAGTTTGCGGGTATAAATCGGCAGCAGCAAGCACAGGACCGAGTTAACTGGCGGAACATGGGAAAGGCCTTTGTCCGGCAGTGGACATATAATCAGGCTGATAATGATAATGAGTGGGTAGCAAGCAAGTATGATTGCAGTACTTACTCAATGAGTGTTTTGAAAAGGCTCTGAAAGGCCACACTTCTAGCTTTCGCTGTGATGGTGCTGCGCTTTCCGTGCAGGCCTGGAGTGTTTTGTCTGTGCTCATATCTAAGCTTAGCACAAACTTCGAAGGGACAGGGGGCTTTGTCAGGCTGATTGCCTTTAGCCATTGCCCCTGCAGTGAGTTTTGTAATGCGTTTACTGTAATTAGGTACTATTACTATAATTCTGGGGCATTGGCCAAGAAAGCTTACAACGTGCTTTTTCTATGATCATTGCCAATGTATCTCTAAATAAATTTATATTCAAGTACAGAAATTACAGGAAAACCAATGAAGAGGTAAAGAAAGGGAGAAAGAAGGGTTTTTATAGATTTCGATATTTGAGATTTTAAGATGACCACGCAGCTTACTTGATTGATTGATGTTTGATGTTTTGTGGCGCAATGACCATTTAATGAACAAACAGTACCAGTTCATCTTACTAGAGATATGGACAATGATTGTGATAAGCGGCTGTATAAGGGCCGTTAAAATTGCTCGCGCTAAGGCAGGTAAAAAACATAGAAGTAATAAAATCATCACCATGCCGCGAAAGGGGTGTGTTGTTAATGGATGACAAAACTTTGTTGTAATAAAAAACGATGGTGGACATGCATGGCATTAGCACAAGTACCTCACTCGTTCACACCCTTGCGTCCAGAGGACGTGAGGCAAGTGCTTTTTTGAGTGTCCTGCAGAGGACGTAGTGAGGCTGATGATGATGATGATGATGATGATGATGATAGCACGATATATTTTGGCGAATGAAACGTGAAATGAAAACAAATGCCGAAACATCGATGTTTTCACCAGAACTTTGGCATGTGGTTTGATTGCATCCATCGAGAGGTGATACGTACTGATGCTCTAAACTATATTCCTATATGATTGGTGTAACATTCAAGAAAACACCCTTCTTGGGTGTAGCTTGCGAACATGCACCTCTAATACACCTAAAATGCTAAATTGGTGTACAAAGGGTGTAATTACAAAAATTACGTCTATTCGGATAAATTTGGCAGAAATAATAGGTGTAAAAAGGGTGATTTATGAAAAATCCACCCTTAAGGGTGTGAAATGGTTTGCAGTATGGAGTGGATATCGAGACGGACATGCTCCAGACCTGCCAATGGAACATACATGGAGCACTCTCAATGTGCCAATGAAACAGGCTTACTCCACATGGAGCAGCAGTGAAATATTACCGGAAGTGCTCCGAGTCTTCCAACGGATAACACGATCACTTGTCTTGCAGGTGAAGTTTGTATCTGCTTAGCTCATACAGATTATTTAGAAGTTATCTTTTTTTTCTGTAGCTCTTGACAAAACCTTAGGCAGTGGAAGCCTCTACCGTATGTAGGTTGACCAACAGCGAAAAATTCTTGACCAAACTTACACTCAGACGATACCCTCGTATTTAAACTTCATTTCTATCACTCTCTTTCCAGTCGTCATACTCCTTGCTAAACATTTTATGTAGCATGTTGAACTCTAAGTTGCATTGTCTCGAAAAATTGCCTTCTTCTGCTCTCGAAAGAACAAAAACAAAGCCGGTTACTTAGATTGCTGACTCCTCTAAAGAAGGTAAAAAACACAGAAGTGCAGTTCTTAAGTTTGTCTTCTCATATAATTAGCTTTCACCTACTATTCACTCACCTTAATAACTCCTTTCTTCTTCAATTCAATTACGTCCATGTAGAAGTCCTTACGAATTCCGCGGTGTTCAATGCGCACCTCACCTGTGAGGCCCTTAATCGTTGTCTGAAACAACAACAAACAAATAAACAAAGGGTCATATATATATATATATATATATATATATATATATATATATATATATATATATATATATATGTATATATATATATATATATATATACATATATATATATATATAATCCTTCATTTATTAACCTATTTATATAATGCCATCACAAAAAATAGGATGTTCCGAGAGCGCGGCACGGTCAGAAGCTCAAGCTATCCGTCTTGCACAGCGATTAAATATGTAGTTGGCAAACACGTCCTATTGTTTGCAGAAAAAAAATAAGGAGTACACGCTGCTTTTTATCGGTGGGTAAACGTTTCAGGATGCCGCAATATACTTAGCAACCCATTTTAGTATCATAAGGAACATGTTATAGCGGCGTAGACTTCTGATCGAATAGTTGTTTTAGCTACACCTGTGTTAAATTTATGAAATCGTTCAGCCATGATAGCTTATGTATCTTTTTAGTATTACTGGGCTAAAATGGCAAAAAAGTGCGCTAAGAGAATTCTACGTCTTTTCCTGTGTTATTGAGTTCTACATCCGTGAGCTCCTGGCTTGATAATTATGTAGGAATTCTCATGCAGCCATACAACAAAACCCGCTCCTAAGTATTTCTCGTTCTAGAGAAAAAAAAACTATTGCCCGAATTGTTTAATGTTGTCATAAACTCGAAGTAACAAAGTTGTCAAAAAACTGAACTTGATTCCACGCAGATTTCTGAACACAAATTAGCTAGAACGTAGTCATTTTGTCATTTTTATATAGACAGCTGTTCTTCGGACGTGCGCTGTAATGTAGTCGCATCGAAACAGCCATACTGGCCACGACACTAGTATTCCTTTATTTATCGCGAAGCCCCACATGGCAGTTTGTAGCACTTTTGCGTACAGATCGAATGGCACTTGGAGATACCGGTTTGTTATCTGCGTGAATATTCGCACAATAACAACACACGCTATTCACTTCAATCATATAATGGTTCATTCTACTGCTCACGCTGGTCGCCTCTTTAAAACTTTCATGCTCTACCCAATCACATAATAACTGCATTTTTTTCCCGGGTTTTAAATGTCGGCAGCTGGTCGTATACCTTCACGTGACAACTGCCTCCCCCGTATCGCCCGAAAATGGGAGGAAAGTACGCTCGGGCTGCTGCAGGCCCAAACTTTTCACGCGCTGGCATGAATTAGGACCACTTTGTTAAATAAAGTTTCAACGACACGTCGTACTATGAAATTGAGTCGTCAGAGTCATGTGCGTCTTCTGACCGCAGAGTAGTCGATTATTTTCCTTGAGGAACAAGTTCCGCGAAACAATTTCGAAACCTGGCTCAGATATGTTGTACGCACAGCGTATACAACCTTGTAGGGGCGAAAAATATGAGGGAGCAATTAAGAGAAGCCAGACTGTCCTATACTCTATTTGTGGCACGTTCAGCGCGTGCTCATCCCGAGGAGAGCACCTTAATGGTGATCGCTTATCAGTAGCAGTGAAAATCAACTGCTACACCTAACGTAACCTGACGAAAATGACGTATAAAAATAATAGAAAAAAGGAATCAAGTACAATACGAAAAGATACAAAAAGAAAGGGAAGAAAGGATAAGGAGAAGAAAAAAGAAGGGAGGCCAAAATATATAGACATAAAAGACAAGAACACGAAAAAAAACGATAGAGTAAAAAGAGAGAAATCGACGAGGCAAGAAAAGGAAACTTAACAGAAATCTGCACTGATATGATAAAAAATAACTAAACAGACAGAATATAACCACATCAAGTTTTCATGGTGACCTTAGTGGAGTCAGTCTAGAAAGCTCGAAGTTTTGATTACTAGATTTCGATGTGATGTCCCCCCTGTAAACCAATATATACACAGAACTGGTCAGTTGATATCACCCCTCAGTGCATTCTGCGAATAAATAGAATCCATCAAACATTATCTCCTATCTTGTCGCCGATGCTCTGTACTTAGGAAAAGACCCCTTGTTATGCCTTTCTGGAAATGGGCGTTAGAGTCACCGGGGAAACTGTACTGAACTTTGGTGCCTCAGTTTTGGGACGCTGCCACAGACATGCTTTAAATGGCATTTGCGGTTTTATTAAGTCATCCAAACGCACCCCATCGCAATGCCCATTCTAATAATTCTTACTGTGTATCATCGAAAAGTGTTTTAACAGAGATTCTGAATGACTAGATGAAGTAAACGCCGCTTTCTGGTCATCTCAACAACTGAAACCTCAAAATTTCTGAAATTGACTTTTCCACTTTTTCCTTCTTTTTTCTCTATTTTTCTGTGGTTTTCCTTACATTAGTTTTATTATAATACAGATTCCTTCTGACAAATAGCTGTAATGCAACCAGAAAACGTACACTACGCTTTCTTGGCCGATCCCCCTGATTGGGTATGAGCCACAATTTCAAAGAAACAAACAAGAAGACTACTCAGCCACACACACCTTCAGATTTTACACACCTTGGGTAAAACCTTCCTAATTATTTTATTTATTTATTTATTTACTTATTTAGCTTTTGGCAGCATTTGTCACCTTACCACAATGCCTTTTCAGAAAACAGTAGACTTCAGTCGCTAATAAAAAACCGTTGTTATTTTTGTTTTTAGGGCTCCACTTCAATGTTCGGACCATAACTTGAGTGGCATTTATATGTGCCGGTGAAGTTCGAAGGCTAGCACGTCGACAAGCTGTGTGTATACCATTTTCATGGACTCCAGCAGAGATGATCCGTGTCTCCAAGGCTTGGGTTGTTCACAGTTGAGTGACTGCAGGTCGAGGTTATGCATGACACGGTCGGCATTGTGAAGCCCGGTGGCGAGGAGAGTCACGGCATCGTACATGAGGGCGGTGTCTGTCTGCGAACAAACAACGCTATTTGCAGTCCATGGCACGATGTAGAAAAGGGTAGTATTGTCGATGAACAAGGTTCTCAGCAACATCGTTATTTTACGTTTTGTACTGAACAATAGGTGCTGGTAATATTGTGGTTCGTTTCATTAAACACATTCTCAAAGGTACGTGTACTTGTATTTTAAATAGGCTTACGCAATAAACACCAATACTTCTAGCACTGAATAAGTAAGTTAACGAGTAAGCAAATCATTAAGCAATTGAGTAAACAAATGCTAACAACAAGCGATATAAATAAATACTTTCGGGAAATGACAAAACAAGAGCGCACTTATGTATTTTAGAACAAAAAATATACTTTTTTATCATTTCTTAGGCCTGAGTGTTTACAAAAAAGTAAAACAGCAAACTGCAAAAAATACAATAGTACTATTTAGATAATAATAAGTACCGAGTGCACAGAGTATTTGAATGGAGAGGTTTATCGATTTGATTGGGGAAGAAGTAAGCTTCACATTACGCAAAGTAACTCGGCGAATAGAAAGGCTGACTTCCCGTACATCGATAGAAATCATCTCAGAGTGGTTATGGGCACCGTATCTCCAGGGCGCTCTGCCGTTCTTTAGCTCCCGCACAACGTTCACGACTTCCGGACGCTGTGGATCCACGAGCCTGAATGCGGTGATGTTGGCTTGCAAGTCGGAGAATTCACTCAGGTCAAGAGTGTGAAGGTCCTGCAAGAAAATGAGGGCGCAGTGACGTCTTCGAAAGGAAGAGAAGGTTACAGGAGTCATGATTAGTGGAAGATATCATTACTTCGGTAAGCCCTACGTGGTGCTGCGAGACTTCGCGGTCAGAAACTAAAAGTACACGAAAAACATGTACAAAATAGCCACACATACATACACACTCAGAGAGAGAGGCGCCTTCGCAGCTTATGTTTCCATGATTTCTATCTTCAAACTGGATTACCAACGAGCCCAAACTGCTGTCATGGTTTATGGTTCATGTAGGAGCCCTTCCAATTGTAAAACGTGTGTATAGCATTGAAAGAATAAATATCATCCCAAAAAGCACGTAAATCTATTTACTGTTACGTGACAGGCCTGAAGAAACACTTGTGACGAGAATGGCGTACTGATAAGAGGCCTAACTATCGAATAGCTATTCAAAAGTAGAGCTTTTTTTAATCTCATGAAACCTAATCAACAGTAGTGCGTGAATACAACTCTATTTAACTTATTCGGTTCTTGCGCAGAAGCAATACGTAGTTGATCGTTTGTCACAGCACCGTGCCAACATCACAATCAACATGCCCGGTAAGTCAACAATATGAAACTAACTGCTCAAATTATACAAACAGTTTAACGCAAGTTACTATCATCATCATCTTCATGCTCATCTTTATCATACTGACTAAGCCCACTGTAAGGCAAAGGGCTATTCGACGTTTCGCCAAATAACCCAGTCCTGGGCTTGCTGCGGCCACGTTTTATCTGCGAATCTCATCAGCCCACCAAACTTTCTGTTCCCCCTTCGCAAGTTTTGGTTCCTTTGAAATGCAGCCAGTTATCCCTAATGACCAGTGGTTATCTTGCTCCAGAACGACGCACCTGGCCGAAGTACAGAGAGGGAGAGAGAGTGAGAAAGGAAAGGCCGGGAGGTTAACCAAATATTGGCATCTGGTTTGCTACCCAGCGCTGGGGGCGGGGAAGTAGGGGCAAGAAAGAGGGGCTAGATAGAGAGAGAAAAAAAAACGCACGCGCACTCATAAGAAAACGAATACAACACAGGAAGGGCGTCCTAGCTACAACCGTTCAGTAAGGCCGGTCGATCGCAAAAAGTGTAGTAGCGCTTTCAGAGCCATCTTCTGTGAAGTCGCATCCTGTCGATACTGCAGAATTCCCTGCTCCGACAGAGGTTGATCCTCTAATTTGTTGAGTTCCTTGCGAAGGCATATCCGTTGTTTACTATACGCTAGGCAGTCACAAAGAATATGTTGGATTGTTTCCTTTTTGCCACAGTGGCCACAGGCTGCGGTGTCGGCCATCCCAATGCGGAAAGCGTAGGCGTTGGTAAACGCGACGCCCAACCACAGCCTACATAACAGGGTCTGGTCTGCTCGGCAAAGCCTCGACGGGACTTGAAGACTTAGCGTAGGGTCAAGCGAGTACAGTCGGGCATGCTTGAAGTGTGGCTGATTCCATTGTGATGGGGTTTGCTGGCGAGCAAGCCTGCGGAGCTTTCGTGCAGCATCTGTCCTAGAAAATGGTAGTCGTAGTTTATGATCTTCTGTGTGGGCTGAGCGGGCAGCTTGATCGGCCCGTTCATTGCCGATGATTCCGCAGTGACTGGGCAACCACTGAAATGTAATTTGGTGCCTTTTCTAAATCAGATGGTGTATAACCTCTGCTATCTCTAGTACCAGCTGCTCGTGTGGTCCACGGCGTAAGGCCGATAGTAGAGACTGCAGTGCCGCCTTCGAGTCGCAGAAAAGAGTCCACTTGCGTGTAGGTTGATCAACTACAAATTGCAACGCGGCACGAAGTGCTGCAAATTCTGCTGCCGCTGATGTTGTTGCGTGAGATGTCTTGAATTTAATTGTCGTGACCAATCTTGGTATCACTACTGCTCCGGTAGAGCTGTCTGGCTGAACTGATCCGTCAGTGTATATATGTGTGGAGTCTTGGCATTTCTCATACAAGAGAAGTAGTGTGAGCTGTTTAAGAGCCGGTGACGACAAATTGGCCTTTTTCTGGACGCCAGGTATGTTACTATTAATCATTGGTTGAGCGAGGCACCATGGCGGAGTCACAGGTCTAGCAGCAGGAGAGAACGAAGTTGGGATCGACTTACCATGTGCGGTCACTGTTTTGCAGTAAGATGTGCATGGTCGGACCACTGGTAGAGAGGCTAAGTGATGTCGAGGGGTTCGAGCAAGGTGTCGTATATGTGTCCTCAGCACTTCCACATTAATGTGGGTCTTGATGAGGTTGTCCCTTGTGATGGCGATAGTTGGCGCTGTTGACGCACTTTGGGACAAGCCTAAACATATCCGGAGTGCTTGAGCTTGGACACTTTGAAGCATTCGTATGCTTGTTTTACTTGCCATGGTTAACACAGGTAAGCTGTACCGAAGGAATCCAAGGAAAAGAATCCTGTATAGTCGCAACATAGCAGTTGTAGACATTCCCCAGTTCTTTCCAGCGAAGAACTTGAACAAATGACAGATGCCTGTCAATCACCTTTTCATGTATGATACATGTGAGCTCCATGAGAGGTCTCTGTCAATTATAACACCTAGGAACTTGTATGATCGGAGGTGACGTATTCTTTCGCTGTTTATCAGAACGCTGTAGTTCTGCATTGGTTTGCGTGTAAATGCCACAAGTGCACATTTCTCAGAGGAAATTTCCAGACCTCGTTGACGGAGGTTAATAGCAACTTAAGTGGCAGCTCTCTGAATTCGCGCTCGCAGCTGTAGACGTGTTACTGCAGACGTCCAAACGCAGATGTCGTCCGCGTACATTGACAATCTGACAGAACTTGGCAGATGCTCATTGAGAGCTATTAGCGTCAGGTTGAATAGTACAGGGCTAAGTATGCCACCCTGGGGAACACTACGGTGGCTGTAATATAGCGAAGTGTCACCATCCTCGGTTCTCACGAAAAAGCATCGCTCAGAGAGATAGCTGCGTAGCCACTGAAACATCCGACCACCCACTCCTACCTCCTTGAGAGCGGTGAGGACAGCTTCATGTGTGACGTTATCGTACGACCGTTTAACAGCAAGGAATAAGGAAGCGCAGAGACACTTACGGCCTTTTTCGTTTTGCACGTAACTGACCAGGTCTATGACGCCATCAATTGATGACCGGCCACGACGAAATCCCGTCATAGCGTCCGGGTAGATGTTGTGATGCTCCAGGAACCATTCTAGCCGTCCAAGTACCATCCTCTCCATCACTTTGCCCAAGCAACTAGCCAGTGCAATCGGGCAGTATGATGTGAGCACCAATGGTGACTTGCCAGGCTTCAGTAATGGCACCAAACGGCTGGTCTTCCAGTTAACTGGGATGGTGCCCTCTCACCACGCTCGTTGTATATCTCGAGGAGGGCACTCCTCGCACACTCACCAAGGTGACACAGTGCTCTGTATGATATTCCATCAGGCCCGGGTGCAGATCTCCGTCAACACAAAGCCCGTGCTGCTTTAAGCTCATAGAAAAAAATTGGTCCATGTGGTGGTCGTGTGATGTGCCATGTGCCACCACGTGAGAGCGTGGAGATGTTGGGATCTGCGAGTTGACCAGATAAGTTGGCACAGAACTCTTCGGCCACGTCGACCTCCGATCTCTGTTGAGAGAGGGCTAGAACCTTGAATGGAGACCGCTGAATGGGAGCTGTCCGGAACCCTCTTATTGTCCTCCACAAGTGTGACAAAGGCTTGCGAGGATCTAACGACGCGCAGAAGGCTGCCCAACGTTGTGGCTCTAGCTTGTCTATGCGGCGTTGTATTTTCGTCTGAAGACGTCTAGCGATTCGTAAATTGTCGATTGCTTTCGTGCGTCGGTACCTTTGTTCCGCACGCAGTCAGAGAGCCCGAAGTCGTTCTAATTCCACATCAAATTCGGTTACTCTCGAAGAGCATGTGAGGGTGCACACTATGTCTTCCACTGTGGACTTGATCACCTCTTCTAAGTCAAATGAGGTGTCCTCTTGACAGCGTTCTTCCATGAGAGATTCAAACTTGGTCCAGTCCACTCTTTGCATAGTTTCGCGTACCTTGCAAGGTGATAATCCTCTGATCTTGACATATGTGGGAATGTGGTCGCTCCCATGTGTTTCTATGCCCGCAAACCACCCGGCACATCTGACGAGACCTCTAGAAACAAAAGCCAAGTCAAGGCAACTGCTGTATCCAGGGCTTGTAAAAATGTTGGGCTGCCATCATTTAACAAGCACAGCTCTTTGTCGGAAGCAAACGTTATCAGACTTCTACCCTTTGCGCTGATCTTCGAGCTCCCCCATAGCGTATGGTGGGCGTTAAAGTCTCCGATGATCACCCATGGGCCAGGAGTGGATGATAGGTTGTGTCCTAGTCTTCTGTGGTCAAATCTACTTGATCGCGACAGGTATGCACCCACAACAGTGACAATAAGACCCTTTGTCTTCACTGTTAAGCATATACATTGGTTATCGTTGTCAGGTGGTACAGACCGAAGAATGTAGGTCAGGTCACATCGAATAAACAGCAGGACCTTGCTGTTTCCACCATGACAAGCCGACATAAATGATTCGTATCCGGAGAGTCTGATAGCGCTCGATAAATTTGGCTCGCAGATGACGATGATGGGAAACATATTGGTGGAAACAAACCGACGGCAATCTGCAATGCGTGATTTCAGTCCCCGTGCATTCCACTGAAAAATTGTTGCTTTTTTGACCTCTTCCCTGAAAGACAGTGGCTGGTGGGCCATTATCTACTCAAGAGCCGCCAGTACTGGACTCAGAGCGTCCAGTACTTGAAGTGCACTTCTGGCTGACGTTGTGCGCATGCCGTTTAACACCGTGCGAATGGCATTAATTATGAGTCGTAGAAGAGCAATCACTTGCTTATCCAAGTTCCGCTGCTCCTCTGTTGTCGCAGCTTGCTCTGATGAATGCGGCTTCTGATGCGATTCTTCCACAAGTTGCGTGCGCGTAAGTGGCGGCCACTGTTCAGTAGAGAGAG